CATGAAACAGAACCTGATTGTGTCAGTGAGAGACAACGGACAGCCCTCTCTGTCTGCCACCTGCTCCATGTATTTACTGATTTCTGACAACTTGGCTGAGGTGCCAGAACTGAAAGATATCGCATACGATGATAAGAATTCCAAGCTGACTTCATACCTGATCATAGCTCTGGTGTCTGTGTCCACCTTCTTCCTGACCTTCATCATCATCATCCTGGGTGTGAGGTTTTGTCGCAGGAGAAAGCCCAGACTGTTGTTTGATGGAGCAGTTGCCATCCCCAGCGCTTATCTCCCTCCTAATTACGCAGATGTTGACGGCACAGGAACTTTACGCAGCACTTACAATTATGACGCGTACCTGACAACAGGTTCTCGGACCAGTGACTTCAAGTTTGTGACATCTTACAATGACAACACTCTGCCTGCAGACCAGACTTTGAGGAAAAGTCCATCAGACTTTGTTGATGCCTTTGGAGATTGTGAATCCTCTCCTGAGGTAGGAACAGCTGTTGCATATAATTTGAATTACTCAGTATTTTAATAGTATGACCAAAATTGAATCTTCTGTTTGTTTGTCTTGTACTTCCTTCATTTGAATTGACAGGTTCATCAACTTTAGGTACCCGATCTTTCAAGTTTCCAGTTTAAAAAATTGCAAAGCTGCACGCTTGAACGCATATTAATTAGTTTGCATTGTTACTACTTTTTTTCTTTTCTTGCTCAACGTTTTTGTATTATTACGACAGTTTCAACACGGTTGGATGCCTGTTTGCTCAATTTGTTCATACTTGTTACACATTCCTTACTCGTTTAGAGGTACAAGCTTTATTGCGTATATATTTGTCTGCATTGTTTGACAATGCACGGAGAGTTCCGCGTCATGATTTCATCTATTTTGTGCAGCTGAAACGGTTTAACATTTGTCTTGTTCTAGCAACTGCTTCATCAGTTCATATCCCGCTGTTTCTGCGTGCGTCTTTTGAGTCGTCCTTCCGCCTCGTTTTTGTGTCTCTGTCCTTGGTGCTGAACCACCCCGGAGTTCGCGGGATTCTTTTTCTGGAGTATCCATCTTGATTCTTATATTCTTCTCATGTCGTTTGTTGTAATTTATAAGCAACCTGTGAGTATTTTTTCCGAAGACATATTTACCCCCATATTCTGACTTAGAATTCTCCGCAGTGTTGCAGGCTTTGATTGTCGGCAACAGCGAGTTTCTGTGGGGAGCGTTTAGGTGGGAGGGATGTATCTCGTTACTGATATCAGTTAAAAGTTTTTGCCTCCTGTTTGTAAAATCATGTTTTTTTTTCTCTTTTTATTTTCTGATTTTATTTTATTATGTAGCGGTAGTTACATAGTTTATTGTGGCTTCGCTGGTCCTTGGAGACGCTGGGCACAGTTGTTTTCATGTGTCCCGACAATAGTATTGTATTGTTTCTATGTTGTCGAGAGAACAAGAAACGGATTGAGTATAGAAAGAGGGAAGAAGTTTCTGGGGGAGCTTCAAATGCTCTACTGTTAACAGTGAACGACTTGGTTTGTAGTGAATAATGTTAAACATTTTTAAAACTGTTTGTATTGTTCTCACTGCATGATTTACGTGAGTTACTTTATGGCGAAAATCGATGTTCAAAAAGCGCTTTAACATGGAGAAGACACGAGTCACTTTTAGAAAAAGAGATAAAACCTATGGAGCAGCTCATGACATATTTTTACACTTTATGAAACAGGATTTGATTTTAACATTAAGGTCAATCGACTGGAAAACATATTGAGAAACCTTGCATCACTTATAAAAAAGTGCTATCTATAATTTGTACTCACGGTGTCACTATAGACCAACGGAGGAGCTGGATGGTCATTCCTCTTTGCACACCACCCATTTTGGGATCGAGCCCTCTGTGTTCCGTAGTCTTCATCATCGGCCGGCGACAAACGCTTAGACGGCACATATATTGAGGGATAAGGTGATTTCAATACTCCAAACGAACGTGTTTCATCACCAGTATTACCCTGATGATGATGCACAGACGGCGCGTTGCTCGAAGCTATGGCTTTTTCTTTTTCTTTGTTGTGCTGCATTACGCACACGGAGACCTGAGCTATTCTGTGCAGGAGGAGCTGAAACACGGATCTGTTACTGGAAATATCGCCAAAGATCTCGGCCTGGATGTGGGCAGACTGTCTGCTCGTAAAGCTCGTGTTGACATGGAAGGGAGCGACAGACAGTATTGTGGGATTAACCTGAGAAGCGGAGATCTTTTCGTTGCGGAGAGAATCGACAGAGAGGAGCATTGTGGAGAGAAGCCTTCGTGTGTTCTCAAATTCGACTTGTTGTTAGAGAATCCGCTGGAGCTGCACCGTTTGTCACTGCAGGTGCAGGACATAAACGACAATGCACCGATCTTCCCGAAGGATCTTGTAAAGCTGGAAATTACAGAATCAGCTGTCAAAGGAGCTCGGTATCGTATTAATGCTGCACAAGATGCAGACATTGGCAAGAATTCAGTCCAAAGCTACGTTTTACAACAAAATCCACACTTTGTATTTGGTCTTCAGACGACAAATGCTGGTCGTAAATACGGTGAGCTGGTTTTGGATAAGGAGTTAGACCGAGAGGAGCAGCAGGAAATGAAATTATTGCTGAC